GAAGTAACTCTGAAGACATACTTAAGTCAGCTTCTGAGCTACCGAAGGCGAAAAACTTTCTAAGAGATGCTTTGTACTACTGCTTTAAATTTTTTTTTAACTACAGCTACAGGTTTTAAAGATTTCTTTGAAACAACTGAAGAGTGAACTTTAATTCATGTTTTTTAAACAAAGGTTATATGAGACTTACAGCAGTCTTACAAAAGAAGGATATGAGCAAGAATTGCACATTACGCTCGGAGTGCAACTGACTTTCAAATTTCTCTACAGGTATTATTTCCCATGAATAGGAACAAAGAGCAAAAACAGTTAAAAAAGCATATTCAAATGTGTGCATAAAAAGGCATGGTAAATGAATACTGTTTAGTTTGCTGACATAATTACTTGAATGTAATTTTTATGAGTCGTAGAAATCTTGGCATTTTCACTGAACCAGATAATTAGACTCTGAATAGAACAGGGTCAGAATAATTAATACATCAAAACTAGATGAACTTTTTCTAATTATTTTTATTTAATCTCTATTATAATTATTGTTATACTCTGCTGAGCATGATTGCCTCATGTTCATAGATTTGAATGCAGTCTTATAGTTGCATCCTGGGACTTTGTGGAATATTAACAAACCGTGGCATGGAGAAATTAGAATGGTGTAGTTTCATGATGGAATTCTAAATTGGAATTTCATATTTTTCTATATAGTTGCACAAAATTTGTTCCATAATCATAAAAATATGAATTTTAAAACAAAGGTCTACTTTTCTTTCAAGTTACACTTCTCCAAAGTTCAAGAAAAATTATTTTCTCAGAGTTTTCTTTTTTTAAAGGTGTATCATCAGCAATTCAATGTACATGAAATTTTCTGAAAGGAGATTACATTAAATTTTTCATTATTTGAGAGTTTTTAGTATCACGATAAATCTTAAACATCTTAATCATTAAAGCAAATGTATCAACAGGCTGTAAAGACCATCACCAACTCTTATTAAAGACTTTGAACTTGGTGTTAGAAAATAATAGTGTAACTTTCTGGTGATATCCACGTACTTGTGCAAGAACTTTGATACACTCGTGAAAATATAGAAAGATAAATTATAACAGCAGATGAAATGACGAATGACAGATAAAATGCATTTAAATCTCAGGGCTGAAAGATTATTTAAAGCAGTTAATAACTGATCAGACTAACCTATGTCTGAACATATGAAATAAGAATGCTATTACAAGAGAGGAAGTTCTTGTCCATCAAAATAGCATCCAATGAAGACTGTAATCCAAGGTGCCAATGAGAAGATTTGAGGTCACTCTTAACTCCTAGTTCTCATTTCAGAGTCAGTCAGGAATTCTACCCTCTCCTAACCTTGTCATCTTCTACCACCATCTGTGGAAGTCCACGACTGTCCCCTGTACAGGAGGGAAAACTGATGAATTTAAGGAGCTTTGCAAGGGAAAAACAGGGCTTAGAAGACTACTGCAAAAGTCTGAGAATAATCTATTCTGAGAATTTATAGACTATTTTAAATTATCTAGGAGCAAATTCACCTTCTAATATTTAGAATAAAGGGCGAGGAGAGACAGAGGGTAATATTCTGCCTAGCTTTTGTGTAACCAAGCTATTTAAATGTTTGCTTGATCCTGGAATTTGGCTAGGGAAGATATGTATCATCAGAGAAAACAGATAAAATCATTAAGATGAAGATGAAAATTTATAGAGTAAATATATTTTTAGAAAAGATGAAAATATAAATGACAGTATTTCTCTTCCTGAAGCAAACAAAGAACTTTTAGGCATAAAAACAGCAAAATTCGCAAAGAGCAAAATTAAATATTGAAACATTCCTCAGGAAGAAACCTATGAAAGTTTGTATTACCAAAATAAATGAGTAGAGAGGAGAGACAGGTTTCATTAATAAGACCATGATATACTGTAAATATTTTACCCAATGGTCCTGTATCATATCTGCATAAGCATGCAGTCATAATAGCATATCAATAGCATTATAGAAAAGATACAATTTAACACATATTAAATAATATATAACTTCGGTTTATTACAAACTTCATATATCGCAGCAGCATATTAAGAGGTTTACTCTAATAATCCAACTTGGCTTTTGCAACAAACCTCTTTGGTAAGTGCTGTCATTTTTCTACTGAAGAATAAATGGAAACAAATAAGTTACATGATAATGTAACTTGCAGGAGCTGAAGCAGGATTTGGATGCAGATCTAACTGCAAATCTGAATGCTGAATCCACTGTACGCTGGTTTCTAAGTATATTACAGGCAATGTAAGGAAACATTTTCTCTGCGTTGCTCTTATCTATAGCCCCTTGGCTTAGCACAGTGCCTGGTTTAGAGCAGGCATTCGGTAATTATTGCCTGCTGAATATATGTATGTAAGACACTGTATCCGAAACTAAAACATAATACCAAAAACAAATGAATCTTACCCCAAGAAGGTTTTCCTTAGGCTTTGGTAGGGTTAAGAAACGTGGGACAAGAACAACAGGGAACAACACAGTCAACAAGACAAACTCTAAGGCAGATTTTTGAAAGTGCACTGCAATGTCCAGAAAGAAAGTGCTATTTCAAAGGAAGAGAGACCATGACCCAAACTAGACAGGTAGACTCCCTCCCATGTGAAGTCTCTTTTTCACATAATTTAGCTATTGAAAGGTCCAACATGGCTATGCTTCTTCATAAATGACTAAACTCAAGTATCCTCCATCAGCCAATATGTGATGCTAGAATCAAAATTTCTGCTCAAGTTAAAAAGAAAAAAAGATTAGACTCAATTAATCTATTTTAACTTTAAAATTAATAGGGAAAAATGGGGATACATTCACTTTAAATTGATGGCTGCCCTTAGTAGTGTCAGTACAAAGGAAACACTGATAGAAACTTGAACTTGTCCTTCTGTCTAATAGGCTAAATATTAATACAAAATATAGTAGTATATCCTTACAGATATAAAGGATTTGATCATATATGAGGCTTAAATAGTAGGTCTTAAGGTAAAAGAATAAGAGATAATAAATAATTGGAGGAAAATGCCACCCAAATAAAACAAATTCAACCTACTCTGAACTTGAATACATTCAGCTTTTTGTTAAACCAGATTTCATTCTCACTCTATGAACTCTTCTCTACTTCTTCCTTTCTATTCCTTTTTCCTAACCCTATTTTATTAAAAAAAACTTATTTGTATATTTAAAACATAGAATCTGACATTGTCCATCTGAAAGCCATTAAATGAAGTCATTTCTACTTAAAAAGTTAGTAAATATCTGGCATTTTTGTCTTTGTTATTATTTTGTTGTTGTTTCAGTCTCATGTAATTGATCTGTGCGCAAGAACCAGACTGGGAGAGAAAAAGATCAAGCGTACATTGTGATCGTTTATCCCGGTCACACAACGTGCGTATGTGCCACTGTTCTGCTGCCCATCTCCGGTGGCTCATTCCGTTGTCTCGGGTGCCTGATGGGCTTCCTGGCATTTTAGTATTTTATCAGTGAGTATTAACTTACAAGTGATAGAAGAAAATGGACTGAAGAACCTGGGCTTCCCATTCAGCAGCTTTTTTTTTAGTTGGTGCTCATGTCTGAATTGTTGACTATTTCTAAAATCAAGACAGGGTTTCTGTGAACCCTTTGATGACCTTAGTTTAAAACATTTTTTATTTTTGTAGTTGGAGGCCTATAGAAAAAGTGGACTTTCAGAGAGACTGGTTCAACACACAGAATGAGGAAATAGCTGAGAACAAATATTAACCAAGTGAAATAAGAATTAAGGAGGCAAAGTCAGAACAGAGGCAAATTATGGAGTCTGTGCATTTAATTGGACTGAATATTTCCCCTTTGGCAGTGCCCAGGGAACCATGAAGATGGGGAAAGGAGAAAACAGGCTGAGAAATATAAATTCTCTATATGAACAGCCATTCATCAAATAATTTTCCTCATGTTAAATACTTCAGAGTTTGCCTGACTTTTATCACTTACTCGCATCAGAATTTGAACTCATACTTTTATGTACTTAATATTAAAATACATAAACACACAGCAAAATAAAATTTAAAAATACAGCCTTCTGGAATGTGGACCTACTTCTTTTTTTTTTTTTTCCTGTTTTTAAAGAACTTTTCTCAGACATTATCTACTGCAACTCCCCTGCTCTGCCCACGAGCAGCACCACCATGACACAAACCAAGCCAGGACAAGAAGATCTGATGAAACGCAGACTGTACTTGTGTTTTGTTTGTTTGTTTTCAGTAAACAAAATATATTTTTGTCTTGCAAAATACCCTGTCCCTAAAATTGATTTCTGATTTGAATGTCTGTCATATTTTCAACAGCGATTTGAAGGTATTACAAAATGATCATAATTTTGATTTCAATAGCTTAAGAAAATGCATGCCAAGTGTCTAACACCAGGTACTAGGTAGCTTCCAATGACTATTAGACTTCTTTCTCTTTCTCCTCTTCAGCAGAAAGTAGAAAAAAATGAAATATTCATTATTTAAAGCTTAATTGTTCGGAACCATTTCAGAGAATTTTAAAACTTCAAGCAAACAATGACTTCAGTATCTTTATCAAGTTTCTATAACAGACACTTGGAATTTAAGTGCAGTTTAGAGTCAGAAGTCTAAGAATTTTATTACATGACTGTAATTTATCTTTTTGTTCTAATAAAAAATTTTGGTTTTTCTTTCATTTAATAAAAAGTTGACCCCCTGCCTCTCCCTCTCACCTAAGATTGTCTCCCTGTCAACTATCTGTCCGTCCATCATTTATTTCTGGAAGTCACAAGTTGAAGTTAATGATCACATGAGTATTTCTGTACTGAAGTGTGTATGTTCACAACATACAGATCTGGTGAAAATAAATATTCACAAATGTGACTGGCTTTGAGAGGCGTCTTTCTTTTTTTCTTTTTTTCTCTCTGAAAGCTTTTGTTGGCCAGTGACAGAATTCAGTCTTTTAAAAAACTGCCTCATTTTTTAAAATGTGAAACACTTGAGGAATGTACATGTCATCCTAGCTCAGGGACCATGCTAATCTCCGTATCACCCCAAGTTTAGTACGTGTGCTGCTGAGGTGAGCCCTGCATTTATCTTTCAGGCCTTAAGGACATAAGGAGTTTTTTCTATACTGCCTTCTTTGGGGAGGAAGCTGGAGGCATATGTGGCTAAACCATAAACACCCCATTTAGTCGTAAATTTTTAATATTCTACTCCTTGAATTGCTTAACTTTAAATGCAGCTGGCATTCATCATTGTGCATTAACTGGCATACACACAGGGCACAGGGAAATGCAAAATTTAGGTCTGTTTTGTACAGCATCATCTCCCAGTTTCCAACGTCAAGCTACAAAACCCTGCTCTGAGTGAGACGGTGCCAGAAGCCATGTGTCCCCTGCTGGATGTCTGAATGCGTTTGCTTACACACAGATTCAAATAGCTCTTCACTCTCTTTGTCATTTAGAGCCTTACCAAGTATTCCAAAATTAGGGGAAATGCTTGCTTATCGCGCTTCTAAAACACTGATATTTGTTTCCATAGGGATCTAGAAACATTCTTTTTATCTAAGAAATTTTCAAGTGACTTCTCAGTTGTAAGGTAAATAGATATTAGTGTCTAATTTGTCATGATTCCACTTCCCATTTCCTGTTCCTTAAAATTCTCATACAAAAGCCTTTGGTTAGAGTCCCCTTAAATAACTGAAGTTGAAACCTGAGGCTCCAGAATAAAAAATACAAAAAGTGGTAAACTAGGACATGACCCAAGTTTTCTGATCAATTAATCAATACAATATATACAGTCAACAGGGAGTATTCTGGTCTCGTGGAGGACTTAATTTAGCTTGAATTCTTGAATTCTCTGTTTGTCTATGGGAAATAGGTTTGTGTTTACAACACTGCAGATGTGTCTTACTTCATGCAAAGTTCAGTCAGTAAAACTGCAATTTTAAAATAAACGGAAAATTAAAACACATTTCACATAATTCAACTCCACTTAGATCTGGCTGTTATGAAAGAAGAAATAAGTTTTAAAAACTAGTGTTTTACACAGTTGGGTTATCTGAGAGCAAATATAAATTATTCAGATTATTTTCAAGTGCTACTGAATCGTGCCCCACTCATTCATACGACACTGCAATGCAACTGTGGAAAGAGGGAACCCTGTCCTTTCCTGGTTCTTTAGAATTTCTTTTCCCAAATGTGCTTCATTGATTTATTTGTCTCACATCTATGGAATATATACAGTTGTCCCAAATCTATGGACTAGATATGTATTTATACTTCTATAGCCAGTCCATATATATGGGCTGCTTGAAGGAGAAATAAATGATAAATATATATATGGGCTGCTTGAAGGAAAAATAAATGTTAAATACAAAGAAATCACATTTAGCTTTTTTTTTTTGCAGATCCACAAATATGTCCTTATACTGTATACACAAAGCATATCTGTCCATTTAATGACAAAATTTATTCACGTAAAATTAGAAGTACCTTATTTTAATGGAAATTAATATCCCTTTCAAATCCCAGCTCCTACCATTGATTAATATTTTCTTACGCAGCTAATGTTTCTATGTTGAGAAAAATAAAAGTAAAACTTAATTGGAAATTTGACATTTGAAAAAAATTCTTATTTTTCAAATGCTTGTAAAGTTTAAATCACACTACTTTATAGCCCAGATTTCTCATTCTAGTGTTTTCTGCTTCTGTTGCTGTTGCGATACTGTAATATTTTTAAACCATTTCAAGTTCAGCCAAAGAGGTATATAAGCAGTTTTTTAAAAACACATATTAAAGTTCTTTTGTATACATTGTTACTTTGCACAGATGTCAGCTACTTGTATAGTATAAATTATTAAGCTTTATTAGGAAGAAAGGCATAGTATAGTATAAGCCAAGGTTTTTATAATCTAAAATAAGAATACATAGGAATGAATAGGGATGTTTTCTGAAATAAGGGTAATTAAACTAATCTGTATCGATTAACTTCATATATTTATAAAAGAATTCATCCCTTTTAAAATTCACTGATACAATGATCTTACCCCACTCATCAAAATAATAATCTGAAGTCTTTTCCCTCCACATAAGCCCAGCAAAGCTATTCAGAATCAAAGGCCCTTCCTCAGGTGAATACATTTAAATCCTTTCTTCCCTGAAAAACAAATTACTTCATTGTTACAAGCTATGATAATAGTGAATACCTTCATAATTAACATTAATCTTTGAATTGATGAAACTTCAGATATTTACGTATTTTAACTCTACAGATTTTTTTCTACCAATTTTATCAGCCTCGCTATGTCTAAACATTTTTTAAAGTATTATTTTTCTCTCTATCAATTTAAAACCAATTCACTCTGGAAGATTAAACTGTCAAGAGTTCATTGTTCCAACTACAAACAATTATGTGAAACATGTATGCATGTTGGAGTGTGAGTGTATGTGTGGGTTTGAGAAGATCTAATTTAGACCATAAAACGCTGAAGAAAGTCAGGGATATTTTTCGCTATATGGCAGGAAGCAATTAAATAACAAATATATATGTTTGTGGTCTTCTGAAAGCTTAGGATCATTCAGCGGCAGAATGGAATCTGGTTCCTTATTTGCACTTCCCTCACCTTTTTTTTTCTTTCTTTCTTTCTCTTCCTTTTATACCTTTTGCAAAGTTGGCCTTCTATTGCTCATCACCAAGTTCCTAAAAAGTGAAGATGAGTTAAGGAAGGTTTATCAGCTTCCTTAGGATGGGGTGGGCCAGAGGCAAGAGAGCCATAAGGAATGTGAGCTGTCAGAGAAGAGAGTCACTCTGTCTTTTTACACTTTGACGTCCTGAGACTCAAGGCCAAGGCTTGTGTCATTAAGCAGCACCAAGGGACAGGGTGCATTTTGGACACAAAAGCTGCCACTGCCACCCAGTGGCAGCATCGTTTATCACATGCTCAGCCAAGCCCCTTGTGTTTTGCCTGGGAGCTAAGCGGGGATGGACAGCTTGCCCGCCTCAAATAGAAAATAAAATACAACGGCTCTGTTTATTTTACCATCTTAACAATTCAAGATATGTGATGAGCAAACAGAACTAGTCCCACGTTAAGTCTGAGTTTTACTATTTTCTCTCTAGGTTTGAGGGAGGATGCATATAATGGATTTTAAGGCAAGTCAATGCTTGCTAGTGGTTTTGAATTAATATCTAAAGCACTTAAAATGAACTCCAAATGAATGTATCTTTATCATAACAGGGGGTTACCACTGATTTAAAATTTTAACGGTTTGGCCCATTCTTTTTCCGTAGCGTTACTGACACAAAGTTGCACTGATACTGATTCACAATGAGGCCCCTACCACACTGAGAAAAACTATCCAGTTGAAGTGGAGTTGACATATGCGGGCTTAGTAAACATGTAAACCAGGAAAGGAGGCTCAGAGAGGCAGAGAACTCTTCCCCTCTTAAGTTCAGTGTAACACGGCACATTATTTTCCTATCATTTTGCTGACTGCAGTCTTTATTCCATAAATAAGAAACACTTCTTCCATCTTCAGGGTAACTTGCAAGGAAAGTCTCACTCAGGCTTTTAAGTTTCGAATTTTTTTTTAATTTAAATTGCCTTAGTTTCAGCAATTAAAAACACATATATACATAATAACATTTTATTTTTCCTTAAAAGCGCATGTCTTCCAGTGCCTTCAGAGCTTCAAATTAATCCTATGTTTCTACTAGATTTCAACAGTGTTATCCTGCAAAAATGATAAAAGTTCAGTTTTTTTACCCCTCCCCATTTACCTACTATTGTGTAAGAGTAATTCCTACTTTTTTGTGTCACACACTCTGTAGATAATATTCTCTAGGCATTGATTTCAGTACTGTATTGCTGTTTGTTTTCAGCAGGCTATAAAAAGAAATGAGATCTTACAAGAAAGGTTGTGCTCTGCATTTTTTCTACGAGTGGAGTTATTTTACCTAAGAGAATGACTTTATTGTGTGCAACACATGTTTATATTATTCTATGTGAACACAGATTTACAACGCACTAAGGGTAACTCACAAAGCTGAAATAAAATTAACTTAATCTGAGATTTTTTTTTTCCCCTCAGTGTTCTTCCTAATCAGGCTGCAGGGGTCCTCTGCACATAAATAACTTTTCATTTACTTTGGATTCAATGGTGTCCACCATTTCAACAAACAGTGATCTGCCAATAAGCTTCAAAACTTAAAAAAAAAGTATATATAAAAGGTATGTATGTATTAACACCTTGACTCACAATGTCTCCCTTATTTTAAAAGAACATATATAAAGCAGAATCAAACATAACTCAATGGAACATCTTCATGTTTCTTCATCAGTTAAAACAGTTTGAACACTTTCCTCTAAAAAGGGGAAAGAATAATGGTGTTTGCTACCTCTCTGGTTTTTTGTTATGTATCTGCTTAGTATGTAAGCAAATACTTTCTTCTGCAAAAGATGGAATCCATCCAAACTACAACAACAACAAAAAAATCTGCACACAATTAACATATTCTTGGACGCTCTATCCAATGCAAACTTTTTTCTTGTGTGGACTAGAGGTTTACCTCCTGCTCTCGAGGCCTTCAGCCTGCATCCTGAGTGGCATTTGTGTGACTATCTGTTGAGTCGGTTTAACTAACCAACCGTTTTATTACTAGCCACCTTGAACAGACACGTACACCATTCCTATTTCTGTTCAGACCTCAGGTGCTGTTTGGGGGATGTTTGAGTTTATGAAGTAGATTATTGTTACTCTTCCAGACCCAGCATCACTGTAACAGTTTCGGAATCTGTGATGGCTTTGTCACTGGCAAATGCAAGAGACACAGAGTGACAACAGGAAGTCAGAAAGCACAGAACGAGTTGTCAGGACAGAGAGCAGGGCACTGGCTCCAAGCTGTCCTCTGCCGGGCATTGTTTTCACATGTTCCGTGCTAACTGGTAGTGCGAATTTTGCAGTTGACTTAAATTTGAGATGTCGACATGAGGAACTTTCACACTTCTCCAGCTGAAAACTGTCTTAAGGGTTGGTGAAAATCTGAGTTCAGGAGAGAACCTAGTATTTTTTTTTAAATAATAT